ATTCCGTTTCTCAGGGTAATTGAGAGTTGAGGGCTGTTTTCAGTGAATTCTAAATTCTAGTACGTCTTGCCAGAGAAACTCTGGGCAAGACGTACTAGAATTTAGAATTTAGAAGGAGGGCTGGCTTAATAAATGTTAGATATTGGCCGGGCATGGTGGCTTACACCTATAATCCCAGCACTTTGCAAGGCTGAGGCGGGTGGACCACTTGTAGCCAGGAGTTCCAGACCAGCCTGACCAACATGGTGAAATCACGTCTCTACTAAAAATACAAAATTAGCCGAGCATGGTGGTGTACGCCTGTAATCCCAGCTACTTGGGAGGCTGAGGCAAGAGAATCGCTTGAACCTGGGAGGCGTAGGTTGCAGGGAGCCGAGATCATGCCATTGCACTCCAGCCTGGACAACAAGAGCAAAACTCCATCTCAAATAAATAAATAAATGTTAGACATTATTATACCTGCTGTTGCAATTGCTCAGACCATATTTGTTGGATGAGTGAATGAATAAATGAATGAACAAATGAATGGCTCACTGGAGGAACAAATTGCCTAAGCCGACTTCTGCTTTGGTCCCAGCTTTGGGTATCCCATAAAACATGCTAGGCTTACTTTGGTCAGAAGAGGGCAGCTTTGAGCTAGGCTTCCCAATTTGCCAGAGACTCAGGATTTGCATCCCTCTTTTGGTGAGAAGGTAGGGAATGACTACAGGCTGTAATTCGTCCTCAGGGCTCAGAGAATATGATGATTGAGGTCTTGGGCTGGAAGTGGGTGGTGAGCTGAGCCCTCCAGCCTGCAGCAGCCCTTTTCCCAGAGAAAAGAAAAGAGATGCCCAGGCATCATACTAAGATAATTCCAAGGGAGAAGATGCTCTGGGCCCAGAAAGCCCCCTATGGCTCATCAGTTACACCCCACCGTCATCATCAGTTACCAGCCCCATGGTACTTTCAGTCTCTCCTTCCCTCACCCCACTCCCATTCCATCTCCAAGGCCTTTCCTCATAGTTTAGCCAAATCCCACCCGCCCTTCAAGGCTCAACTATGAGGCTCCCCTCTAACCTCTGAGCCAGAATAAAGCCCATCCAGTTGACCCCATGGGCACTTCACACCTCTCCTGAGGGTCTTACCACTTTTTGCCTTGGACTATATGGTAAATTGTATGTTTATCTTATTTCCCTTACTAAACTGTAAACTCCCTGAGAGCAGAGAGCTAATATTAGTCACTCCACAAGACTCATCTTACAGTTATCTGAGATCTGCCTTATCTGCCCCCAACCCTCACCTGACCCCCAAAGCATAGCCTTGGTGCCTCTCACCTGTCCTGCTCCCAGCAGGACACAGCACAGCAGTCCACATTCTGAGCTGCTTTCAAATCCCCTTTTACCAGTCTGGACCCACCCCTCCTCCCCTACAGACACACACACAGATTGTGAAGTGTGTAAGGACAGAGACAAACATTTGTTCCCACTTGTTTTCCCAGCACAGCACATAGTAGATCCAATACATAGCTTTCCCCCATGAGCCATATCTGAGATCTGCTTACCTGCCCTCAACCCTCAGACATGGATCAGCCACTGGACTTGGGGCTAGGGGTAGGCCTCTCCCTCCCAGGAGTCAACAGTGGGGCAGGCAGGATTGAGAGTAGCTTATCTCAGCTAGACATCCCAGCACATCCACACATCCAACTACATGACCTAGGAAGTCCCCAAGCCTGCTGGTGGCAGAGTCCCTGACCAACACAGATTCCCTGTCAGGCACTCTCGCTCTCCCACCAACCAGATCTCCTTTGAGGAATTTGAGAGCTGAGTTTCAGCAGCTTAGATCATTTCCTTATCACATGCTGTTCTGGCTCTGGGTCTTCCTTGCCTGCCTGCTGTGTTCTTTGGTCACCCATGGCTCACCACCTAGATGGGGATTCAGATTGTAGTCAATGGAAGCTGCAGTGGGAGTGAGAAGGTCCAGGGGGTTGCAGGTGATTCCCCCGACCATGGCCAGGTAATGGAGTGGGCCCAATCACATGTAGGTCCTTTTCGTTTCATCTTCGGATTCCATGGCACATCCATTCCTTCAGTCCATAAACATCTGTGGAGTGCCTTTTAGGTGACTTGCAGTACACTGGGTGTTGGGGATACCTGGAAAAAATTACAGGAGTCTAGCTAGATTAAGCCTCAAAAGAAGTATTAGGCTCATCTGTATAATTCTTATGAAGAAATGTTGATTCAGCCAGCCAATTGCCACTTGTCCATTGGGTCTCAACTTAAAAAGCCCTGGCTTTAGGAACCTGCCCTGAGCAGCCTCCTCCCATCCGGGATACATATTTTAAAGGCAATCTGAGCCGGACCAGGTATTTCATGCCTGTAATCCCAGCACTTTGGGAGGCCGAGATGGGCGGATCACCTGAGGTTGGGAGTTTGAGACCAGCCTGACCAACATGGAGAAACTCTGTCTCTACTAAAAATACAAAATTAGCCAGGCGTGGTGGTGCATGTCTGTAATCCCAGCTACTTGAGAGGCTGAGGCAAGAGAATTGCTTGAACCCGGGAGGCAGAGGTTGTGGTGAGCCGAGATCGCACCATTGCTCTCCAGCCTGGGCAACAAGAGCAAAATTCTGTCTCAAAAAAAAAAAAAAAAAAAAGCCCATCTGTTCTTCTTCCATCATGGACCCCTCTCCCTCTGTACAGGATTTACTTGTTTATTTCTCACTAGACTGAGAACACTCCAAAGGCAGGGATCTTGTCACCATTGTATCCCCAGGCTCAGCACCTAGTGGGCACCAGTATTTGTAGAGTGATGTAATTAGTAGAAGGTCACAGAACTGGTTAATGTCAGAGTCAGGACTTGAACTCAGGTCCCCTAACACTCAGTCCTGTGCTTGCTCTTATGTTACCCATGCTTCCTTTTGAGAATCCTAATCGTCTGGATGAGCCCCCAGGAATAGATGCAGATTTTAGAAGGGAAAGGAAATAGCAAGTCAGGGCAACTATCTCTGGGCCTCATCCTATTTGCACAGATAACCCGCAGCAAAAGGGGAGGCTGGTAGAGGGAAGAATGCCACACCAGCCACAGCCTCCTGCGGCCCTCCAAATTTGGGAGAGAGAAGTTGGTTTCCTGTGTAAGGTAGATCCTCTCCAGCCACAAAGGAGGCAAAGAGCTCCATGGAGGGATGAAGACATCTGTAACTCACACTAGAAAAAAAATCACAGGATCAACAGAAGGGCAGGGCGAGGTGGCTCACGCCTGTAATCCCAGCACTTTGGGAGGTCGAGGTGGGCAGATCACGAGGTCAGGAGATCAAGACCATCCTGGCCAACATGGTGAAACCCCGTCTCTACTAAAATACAACAAAATTAGCTGAGCGTGGTGGCGTGTGCCTGTAGTCCCAGCTACTCAGGATGCCGAGGCAGGAGATTCGATTGAACCCAGGCGGCAGAGGATGCTGTGAGCCGAAATCGTGCCACTGCACTACAGCCTGGGTGACAGAGCAAGTCTCCATCTCAAAAAAAAAGATCAGTAGAAGTAGAAAAGTGGGCAGCCACTGGAGGTGAGTCCTTCTTTGTCCTCAGCATGCCCTGGATACACAGGGGAGGCACCATCCTCCTGAAGGTCTGAGGGGAAGGCTGCCTGCCCAGCAGAGCTAGAATCCATCCAGGGCCCTAAACTGGCTTGCAGAAGGGGTTTCCCTCAGAGAAGAGGATTTAAGCCTGTTGTCCTCCATTGTCTTCCTCGAGGATCAGGGTAGGTCCTTTTCATTTGCCACTTTGTTACCAATTATGTGGCCTTGGGCAGAATAATATTTATTTCACAGGATTAGGTTATCAAGATGGCCAAAGGGGAAAACATTCCCTCTCCTCCATTTAAAGCAAGAAGGAAAACCTATGGGCATTCTCATTTCACTCTAAATAGCACTCAGAGTGGAGATTCTGGACGTAGCAACACCAGGTCTCAAAAACCAAGTGAAACCTCATAATCCACCACCAGTGTTCCTGGCACATGACAAGAAAACCTCTGGTGGAGCACCTATTTTCAGATTTAGGGACACAGGTTAGATAGTTGGAGTATAAAATTTTTAAATAAATACATGTCCCTTTTGGTTCTCTCCACCTCCAGCTGATGCTTCAAAAATAAATTCCACCAAGTGGTTGAGGGAATCTACTCAAACTTCAAAGTCCTCTTTTTTTTCTTTTTCTTTTTCTTCTGAGATAGAGCCTCACTTTGTTGCCCAGGCTGGAGTGCAGTGGCGCCATCTCGGCTCACTGCAACCTTTGCTTCCTGGGTTCAAGCGATTCTCCTGCCTCAGCCTCCGGAGTCCCTGGGATTACAGGTGTGCGCCACCACACCCGGCTAATTTTGTATTTTTAGTGGGGACAGGGTTTCGCCGTGTTGGCCAGGCTGGTCTCGAACTGCAGGACCTCAGGTGATCCTCCTAAGAAGCCCTCTTTGAGGAAGAGGGAAGAAATTTCCAGAGCCATTGGATTTCAATACCCAAGTAAGGTTGATCTAAGGAACCGTAGAACAGCTCTGCACCAGCCTTCCCATTAGGCTGGATTCTGCCTCAGTCCCATCCCAGCTCCCTTTCTCCTTTATGGACTTAATGAAGTTGTCAAGCAATTATAGATTTTGGCTTGGGACAAGCAAATTACTCAGGATGGAGAAATACTTTGGTGGCCTCTAGTGCCCTCAGATTGTCCCTTGCCAACTGAGAACGAAGGACAATGAAACAACAGGGCTCTAACCAAGACCAAGCACCACTCAGAGGCGAGAGCAGCTGCAAGGGCCCCCAGAGGAAAGTTCTGGGCCTCAGGCTGCCTCCGCTAGAATCCCCTAGTCCCCATTCCTGGCCCTTGGGGCCCAGGTGGGCGGGACTCCATTGACACTTTTCTCGGCCACGCCGATGAGGAGGAGGCAGGGCCTGGAGCCCCGGCAAGCCAATGTGGACGGCCGTGGTCACGCGCCGCCGGTGAGCAAGCCAATAGGCCCGGGGGGGCGTGTCCAGGGCCCGGGCTCAGGGCGTTTATAGCAACTTGGAATGCTGTGCTTTCTGCGCGTTCTAGTGCTGCTGTGGCTCCCCGTCCCGGTGCGGGACCTGTGCCCCGCGCTTCAGCCCTAGCCGCACAGCCTATTGATTCCCCTGCCGCCCTCGCGCACCTCCTGTTCGCCATGGAGTCGCTGGTTTTCCCGCGGCGCTCCGGCCCCACTCCCTCGGCCGCGGAGCTCGCCCGGCCGCTGGCGGAAGGGCTCATCAAGTCGCCCAAGCCCCTGATGAAGAAGCAGGCGGTGAAGCGGCACCACCACAAGCACAATCTGCGGCACCGCTACGAGTTCCTGGAGACCCTGGGCAAAGGCACCTACGGGAAGGTGAAGAAGGCGCGGGAGAGCTCGGGGCGCCTGGTGAGTGCGGCTCCCTCTCGCGGCGCGGGGCAGGCTCGGGCTTGGCCGCCGGCTGGGAGCGGAGGAGGGGGGCGGGGGGCTCGCTCGTTGCTGGGCGAAGAGGCCAGCGTGGTCTTTACCGCGCTGAGCTTGCGGGGCTACTGGGGGGTGTCCGTGGCAGATGTGTCGGTCCGTGATTGCGGGGGACAGTGGTTGCAGACTTACGAACCCCCAGCCAGCAACACCACACTTCTGTGATGATTGTCAAATAAAAAAAAAAAAGTGAGGCTATGGATAGTTCGCACGGAAAGACGAATCGTGTTCTGTCCTGGGATGAGATGAATGGGACTTAAGTTGAATTTTGCTGGGAATAGATTGTTCAATACAGTGCAATGGGAAGAGGTAGTAGAAGCCACCCCATCTTAGTAGGGATTTGGTAAATATGTGTGTGGTTGAATGAATGGATGAGGTGTGGCGTTCCCCCAACTCTTAAGAGTCTGGCAGCCCAGAGCACTGGAGATCTGGCACAGGGGGTGGATTTTGACATTGAGGTCCTTTCCAGCTCTAAGATTTAGTTGAAATTTCATTATGATGAGTTTTTGATTCTGGAAAATGTGAAACCAGGCTCTGGTACCAGGTCCACTGCACCAGAGATACCTTTTAGTTTGGAGGCCTTTTCAAAAACATGTCCTGTTAATTTGGTGCGAATGTAGTAGTCTAGCAATCTGTGTGACCTTGGACAACTTCCTTCATCTCTGTACTTTGTTTCCCCTTCTGCAAAACTGTAGAAAACACAGCCTGCCTCACAAGCTGCTGTGAGAATTGAATAAGATAGAAATATGAACTTAAATTGCCCCTGATGCATAGAACTTGCAGTGAGAACTTCTGGAAAGGCCAGAAAGGACGGCAAATTTGTTAAAAGTTAGTTAGCAGTGGCTAATTAGTTCTCAAACTTGAGTTTAAAGTACATAAGAATCACCTGGGATGTTTGTTTAAAATACTTACATTCTCTGGTTCCACACCCAGAGTAATTTATTCTGAAGGTCTAGGATAGGGCCGTATAATATATATTTTAACAAGCCTTTTACAGCAGGTGTTTTAGCCATTATTGTGTTTTGCCAAATCCAGTTGGGTGCTGGTTGTGAGGGTGTGTGTGTGTGTGTGTGTGTGCGCGGCTTGCCCTATTGGCTAGGCAGCAGTTACCTCCCCAGATTGTGTTTGCTTTTGCAGCCAGTAGCTGGTTTGAAATTCAAGAAGTCATTTCATTGGTGAAGGAGAGTGGTTGTTGGAGAAAGGGCTAGATTATGGTCCCATCAATAGGACCGAGTATGTTTTTCCTGCTATCGCCTGGCACAGTCCCCAGTTGCCTGCTGCCAGGTTACAGCAATTGGGCAATCATGTACTTCCTGGCTTGCCTTTTCTTTCCCTTTCTACAAAGTGTGAGGGCCCAGTGAGGCTCCAGGCTTGAGGCTGTTGGACCCAGGCTTTTTCAGGGGCTTAGCTGGAAAAGAGCTGCTCGTGGCTTGTGCTTCATGCTTCTTGGGGGTGGGGAGACTGGGTCGTGGGGACTGGGGTAGCCTAGAAACTTAGAAACTGAGATTTAAGTTCAGAGATCCCATCAGACTCTTGACCCAGGTCACTGTGGGGTGTGTGTGCGGGTGTGTGTGTGGACGTGCGTGAGAGACAGAGAGTAAGAGAGAGATCTCATTTGATTCCAGAATGAGATAAACTAGCTTTCAGTTTTCAAATCTCAGTGGATTTAGGCAGGGATTCCAGCTCTAATTGCATTAGAACAGAGAGAATTCAGAAGGTACTCCCTGGCCTCATGCCTCTTGCTCTTTGTAGGAAGCCAAGAGCAGTAGGCATGGGACCTGCTGTGAACCTGCCTGATCCAGACCACCCAGTACTGCAGCTGGGAACTTGCTCAGAGTCTCCTTCCTTCTTGGAGAGCAGCTGCCTGCTGTGCTAATGGTTTCTCAATTCTGGAGCACTGCTTCTTCCCCACCTTACCCTCCCCTGTCTCTTGACTCTCCTCTATGAAGCAAGAGAGACCTGGTGCCTCAGGATACTTCAGTTGGGGAGAGGGGTATGGGAGCTGCCCAAGACCTCCCCCAGCATGAATTGAGATAGTTGGTGGGAGCTAGATTCAGAGGAAAGCCTGCTGGGTGACTTCCATCCCAATTTTCTCTCTACCTTTCCAGCACACTTCCTGCTCCCAACCTGCCTAGATGGGATTATCAGGGGCCAGATGGGATTGGCAGAGGGAAGGGCAGGTGGGTGGAACTGATGCCTGCTCTAGGAGGGCATCAAAGGAAAAACAAATATTTGCTCTGGATCTTCAATACATTCCTGGTATCCAAATGACATTTCCTTCTGTATTCTCCCAGCTCCCCTGACCACCCTTCCCCCTAAAGAGAAAAACACATGCTAGGGTTTCTGGAATGGTGGAGTCCACCAAAGCCTTTTGATGATCTTCATGAGAAGTCGTACCTCCAAGGTACAACTTGCATCTTTCTGCGCCAAGGGGCAGTGAGGGTCATGAGTCCAAGTGGGCAGTGCTCTGGAGCGAGGGTGCTTCTGTCTTTTTTATGTATTAGATTGCTGTGCAGGATTTCAAAATGTTTGAAAATGACTGAGATGGTCCGATTCCTTCATTGACAGATAGAGTACCTGAGGCCTGGAGAGGGGAAGTGACTTACCCTGTAGCTGGTGAGTGGCATGCCTGCAACGTGGGCTCCTGGATGACCAAGTACTGAGTCCTGGACTGGGAGTTGGCCTTGAGATGAGCCTGGGCTTGCCTCAGTGTACTTTGTTATTCCAACAGTTAGCTCCTGCTGCCTTTCCCATTGCTCCAGGCAATGTTTCAGGTGGGAAGAGTCACTGGGAACCAACCCCCACCCTCATATACAATGACTGTGTTGAGGATTCTGGGTGGGTGAACTACACTATATTCTCGGGTTTCAAACCTTGTTGGGGATGCTGCCTAGCTGACACTCAAGGCTGCAAGGGTTCAAATCATGGCTCCGTTGCTTACCAGCTGTTGTGATCTCTCTGTACCTCAGTTTCCTAATCTGAGTAAAGTGGGGGAGATCATCATTCCCACCTCGTGGGGTTCCCTAAGGATTAAGTAAGATAGCATATATAAAGTGCTTAGCACAGTGTCTGCCACACGCAGTGTTATTATCCCAGCAAGGCTGGCTTTGATGAAGCCCTGCCCTTCCCTTTCCTGGGGAATCCCTGCATCCTGGAGGTCTGTCCTACCCCCAGAAAGAGAGTGGATTGTGTTTGGCTTCCCTAAGCCAAATCACTTTGTTCAAAGTCCTAGTCTCTCCTTCAGCCCCAGTTGCAGAGAAGAACTCGCACCTGGCCAGCTGCCAAGGGCTTGCTTGGCAGGACACTGCCCTCCCAGCTCCTCATGCACCTGCCTGCTCAGCAGCAGGCTGGGAGGCTGCGGGCCACTCTTGTCCTTGAGCTCCAGCCAAACCACACAAGAAGGCTGAGCAGGGACGCTCCTTGCCCAGCAACCTGGTAGAGGGGGCTGGAGGATGGCAAGGAGAGGGCAGCACAGTATGGGGATGTGGCTCAGGCTTCCCTCGGAGCCCATTCCTGATCGCTGCCTAGCTCTCTGGCTGGTGTAGTGGGATGGCAAGCCACCCCCTAGGCCCACCCCCACTCTGCCCAGTCTGGGCCAACCCAGCCCAACCTCTCCTCCGTTATCTAAATGGGTCATCCTCCAGCTCCTTGTCCTGCCTCCCAGGCAGCAGCTGCTCCACAAAAGGCCAGAGAAGAATCAAGGATCTTGGCTCCAACTCTGGGTGATAGCTATGACCAGAGATGCCCAGCTTGCACCTTCTCTCCCTCCACCTGGAATCAGCATCTCTGGATCTTCTTTTTCTAAGGCCTTTCTGCCATCTTCTCCTGAATCCAGATTGTTCCTGATCTGAGTACCTGGGAGGGAAGCAGTTTTTACCAAATGAGCCACATCACCTACCTCTCCAGGGTGTTGGCAAAGGAGTGGGCATGTTTGTATATCTGCAAGTGGGATGGGGTGGCTGGTGGTGCTGCACAGGCTGGCCCAGGGCAAGATGTGGGGCCTTCCCTTCTCCAGCAATGGGAGGTAGGCAGGGAATCTCCGAGGAAATAATTTCTTCTGAGATGGAAGCTTCTCCAGGCACCATCCTTCCATCTTCAATCCTGATTGTGTCTTGATGTGCTGGGAAGCCTTGGAAAAGTCAGTGCGCCTTTCTGGATTTCAGTGTGTGCCATTTGCAAAACAAGAGGAGGAATTAACCTTGCTGTCTCTTTCAATGTCCAGGACCGCAGGGTCAAGAAAACCACTGGGGCGGTATCAGAAATTATGCTCAAGCAGGCTACCATGGCCACAGTATGGGGCCCCTTATAATAATCCTTGGCTAGCACCTTCCTGGCATAGTAGCAGGTGGCCCATTCCTGACGAAGTTCAGCATAGGATTCTAGAGTTTGGAAGAGTACTTAGAGATCCTGATGTGCGAATTCATGAATGGCTCTTTCTGGCCTTTGCTCAAACCTTTCTTTCTGCCCTTGTTGCCCCTCCCTAGCCCACCTCCCTTGGCTTAGCAAAACTCACCGATCCTTCAAAATCGAAAGCAGCTTTCTCCCAGAGGTGGTTTTCCCTGCTCCTCCTATAGGCAAAGGAACTTCTCTCCAGTGCTCCTGCAGCTCTGCAGGCAGGGACATCAACTGCCATGTTTATCAAATAGAATGGGGTTTATCTAATTGTCAGTCCTCCTACTGGAGGACTGAATCCCTAACACCTAGCACAAGTGCCAGCCAGGCACATAGAAGACACTTAGCAGATGATTGGAAGATAAAGATCCTTTCGTTTTTCAGATGAGGACATGAAAAACAGCCAGATGATGAGTTAACCAGACTTACCTGATCAAGTGACTTATCTAGAGTCACACAGCTCGGTAGGAGCAAATAAGAATTAGATACATGGGCTCTCGATGCCCCCTCCACTAATCAGATGTTCAAGTTTACGTTGTTATTATTATTGAATCTAGTTTTCCTACCCCTTCTCAGTAGGGTGGCCATATAATGTATTGTCTAAACTTGTATAGTTTAGAGAGTAAAAGGGACGATATTAGCAGTTATACCAGGACTGTCTCACGCATGCGGCCTTCCTACGTCTGGGTGATTCATTCAGCAATTGTTACCCTCTTCCTTGGCTTTAGTCGTCTTATTTTTATTTTTTATTTTTTTAAGACAGAGTCTCGCTCTGTCGCCTAGGCTGGAATACAGTGGTGCAATCTCAGCTCATTGTAAGTTCCGCCCCCCAGGTTCAAGCAATTCTTGTGCCTCAGCCACCAAGTAGCTGGGATTACAAGAATGCATTGCCAGGCCTAGCTAATTTTTGTATTTTTAGTAGAGATGGGGTTTTACCATGTCAGCCAGGCTGGTCTCAAACTTCTGGCCTCGAGTGATTCGCCTGTCTCAGTCTCCCAAAGTACTGAGATTATAGGCGTGAGCCACTGCACCCAGCCTTGTCACGTATTCTAGAGAATAGTTGCCGAGCTATCTTGCAGATGAGAACAAAGGTCCCTAAAAATTAGTCCTTATAACCGAGGTGGACTCCACCCATGTCTAGGAAGAAGAGGAGAAAAATCTTATCTGAGCGCTGGTCCCATCAGTCAAAGATCATCAGCCCAGCGACTTAACTAGTAAATATTTGTGATTGTTGTTCACCAGTAAACAACTGTTGAACACTTTCGGTATGCTGAGCTCTGTCTAGGCCTAAGTTGTTGCTCTAATTTGCTTTGACAGGCTAGCCAGCAGATAGCTAGAGCCCTCTCCTTGGGGCCAGGAGAGGCTGGGGAGCAGTGGCCCAGCCCCACCAGGGCAGTGATGCATGGCTTTTCTTGTCTGCCATCTGCTCGGGGACTGATGGAGGCCTGATGACATAACTTGTTTGCTTCCTGGAAGGTGCCAGCCGTACTGTGATCTGCTGGGACCCAATGTGGATTACCCCTCAGGGGGTAGGTTAGGTGGGTCCCTAACCTACCCCCTGAGGCCAGAGCACACAAACTTGCAGGAGGCTGAACTGTTCGAGGAGGATTAACCATTCTGATGTAGAATCATGGGCTTCCGGAGTTGAAAGAGATGGATCTTGGGGTTCAATTTGTTGCACCTTCCCCCATGCAGACTCCTCCCAGCACCTCTAAGACCTCTTTCTCCTTTTTTTTGGAAGCTCATTTATTTTAGGCCTTGTCATCTCTAGAGTTCTGCCCCTAAGCCTATGATGATTTATCTCACTATTGTATCTGCGAGTATACAACTGTACATCCAAGATAGGGCTATGTGTACATTTTAAGTTTTGAAATAGTTTTGATTATCTAGATATGGGATTTGTGTTTATGTATGATTGATTGTTTGCTTTTTATGGACCTTTATCTTGGAAGAACTCATAGAATTTTATCCATTGTCTAATTTTAAACGAACAATTTTAGAGAGAAAATAACTTGTCCATAAAATCTCCCCTTCAGGGAGAGGAAAAAGGTATGGAGGCGAGGGGTGTGTGGGAATGATGCTCCAGGTTGAAGGCAGGAGAGAGAGGTGCCTCCTAGTTAAAGGAGGGTTCGAGCCCTCTCTACCTACCCCTGGCCCCTGCCCACTTCCAAGCCCAGGTTTTTGTTTGGCTTTGCTTTGTTTAGCTCACAAGAGAGAGATGGATGGTTTGGAGTAGAAGGGGGGTAGCCCCATCGCATCCCCTGCAGCTGCAGCGTGGGCCTCTCCGGCATCTTGGGGAGGAGGCTCCATGGTGACCATCCCTCCCGCCTGCCATTGTCCTCCCTGCCCTGCTCAGGGAGGGCCCGAGAGAGCAGGGCCTCCCTTCTTTCACGGATGAAGCTCCAGGGGGAGGAGCAGGGTGGAGGGCACGCCATCCCTGGCCCGTTGCCGGGGCGACCGGCCCAGGCCATTGTGAGCAGCTCCTCTTACGGGATTAGGGCTGTTCCGCATTCTTGTCCGATGGAGAACACAGGCCGGCAGGGCCTGCTGCCCCTGCAAGCCAGAAGCCATTGTCTGCCTCCAGAGCCCTGAGAAAGGGTGGATTAGAGGCCCCGCCCCTGGAGCAGGGGTTTCCTTTTTTTCTGTCTCCCTTTGAATCTTGAGGGGAGACAAACCCTCCTGGGAAATGGAACGAGGAGCTGTTTACCGCAGTCTGGGTCTTCAGATTTCTCACCACTTACCTATCTCCCATAAGAGGAAGTCTCGTATTTACCATTGGTGTCCTTGGACAGCACTTGCCGGGAACTGGCCGGCCCTGTGGCACCCCACCCCCACCCCGCTCCCGCCCAGCCCTGCAGCCTCTGAGGGCCCCGTGGCACCTGTAACAGCTCATTTCATAGACTCAGAGCAGGAAAGCCCCTCAGATCTTTTAGTTCAACCTGTTTGTTTCACGGGAAATACAACCAAGGGTCTGAGAAGGGGTGGGACTCGCCCAGGGGGACAGCGGCAGACTTCCCAGGGCAGTGTCCCTCCCCAGCTCTGCACCCCAGGCCCTGCTCGCTGGTATTTTCCGGGGTTTTGTCCAGGAGCTGCTGCTGAGGAGGGTGGAGCAGAGAGGGACCGAGACCTTCGGTGGCTCAGAGCTTTGCTAGCTGCATCTCGACAGCCCAGTTCCCACTTCCTCCTGCCTCACTCCACCCTTCCTGAGCCCACCACACCTACCGTCCAGAGGGCTTAGCGCTCAGCCCACGAGTGGTGTTCTTCGTCTTGCTGGGCTAAGATAGCAAGCCCTGAGGCCCCGACTATTGAGTTGTTTGTTTGTTGTGAGGGGGGGAGGGGAGGAACATTTCTTTTTCTTTTCTTTCCTTTTTTTTTGAGACAGAGTTGCTCAGGCTGAGGCTGGAGTGCGATGGCGCGATCTCTGCTCACTGCAACCTCCGCCTCCCAGGGTTCAAGCAATTCCCCTGCCTTAGCCTCCTGAGTAGCTGGGATCACAGGTGTGCACCACCACAACCAGCTAATTTCTGTATTTTTGGTAGAGATGGAGTTTCTCCATGTTGGTCAGACTGGTCTCGAACTCCCAACTTCCGGTGATCTGCCCGCCTCGGCCTCCCAAAGTGCTGGGATTACAAGCATGAACCACGCCACCTGGCCGAAACATTTTTATCTGAACCGAGTAAACTGGTTTAGGGTTTTGTGTTTTGTTTTTTTGTTGCTGTTGTTGTTTCCCTAATTTTTGGACCAATTTTTAAAAGCCTGTGGTAAAATGTACATAATATAAAAGTTACCATTTAAAGTGCACAGTAGTGTTAAATTTAACGTTGTTGTAACCCAGTCTCCAGAATTCTTTTCATCTTACAAAACAGAAACTATACGCATTAAACACCTCCCCACCTCCCCTCCCCCAGTCCCTGGTAACCACTGTTATTAATACTTTCTTCTGTCACTACGAATTTGCCTATTCCAGGTACCTCATTTAAGTGGGATCACACAATATTGATCCTTGCATGACTGGCTTATCTCACTTAGCATTAATGTTTTTAAGGGTCATCTGTGTTATAGCATGTGTTAGAATTTCATTCTTTTTATGGTTGAATAATATTCTATTCCATCCTACGGACATACCAAGTGTTATTTATTCCTACATTTATTTATTTATTATTATTTTTTTTTTTTTTGGTTTTTTTTTTTTTTTTTTTTTTTTTTTGAGACGGAGTTTCGCTCTTGTTACCCAGGCTGGAGTGCAATGGTGCGATCTCGGCTCACCGCAACCTCCGCCTCCCGGGTTCAGGCAATTCTCCTGCCCCAGCCTCCTGAGTAGCTGGGATTACAGGCACGCACCACCATGCCCAGCTAATTTTTTGTATTTTTAGTAGAGACGGGGTTTCACCATGTTGACCAGGATGGTCTCGATCTCTTGACCTCGTGATCCACCCACCTCGGCCTCCCACAGTGCTGGGATTACAGGCTTGAGCCACCGTGCCCGGCCTTATTTATTATTTTTATTTATTTATTTATTCCTTTCTTTTTCTTTCATTCTTTCTTTTTTGAGACAAGATCTGGCTCTGCTGCCCAGGCTGGAGTACAGTGATGCAATCATGGCTCACTACAACCTCTGCCTCCTGTGCTCAAGCAATCCCCCACCTCAGCATGCACCTATAGCTGGGACTACAGGCATGTGTCACCACACCTGGCTAGTTTTTGTATTTTTTGTAGAGACAGTGTTTCACCATGTTGCCCAGGCTGGTCACAAACTCCTGGCCTCAAGTGATCCTCCTACCTTGGCTTCCCAAAGTGCTTGGATTACAGGCATGAGCTACCACACCCAGACCTATCCCTACGTTTCTTGATGAACATTTGTGTTGTTTATACTTGGTGGCTAGTGACTGATTGCTTATAGCAAATTACAGTTCTGGGGCAGAAAAAGTGCCAAACTCAGAATCAGATGAGCACATCATCTAACCTGTCTGAGTCCCAGTTTCTTCACCTGTAAAGGGGAATGATGATGCTTTCTGTGCCCACCTCCCAAGGTTGTTGTGAGGGCCAGTTCATTTACTAATGTAACAAGGAGTTATTCTGTGCCTCTAGTGTGCACCAGGCACTGTACTCAGCATCAATAATTCAGTGGTGAGCAAAACTGACCAGTCCCTGTCCTCATGGTGCAGACCGGCACATTTCCTTCATAAATCATAAAGTATCGGCCTTGCAAATGCAGGTTTTTACCTTCCTTGTCCGTCTGTAGACTATGAATAAGAAGGTAACTGGTCCATATTTCTGCTGCATGGACCATGTGCACTCAGCTCAGGTGAGATCTTTTTCTAGGGAAAGTGCTCTCCAGTCTGTCTGTCACTTACTCTGGTAAAGGATGAAATGGCTTCTCTGGGTGTACTCTATGGCCTTTATAGCAGCTATAGGCAAACCACCAGGACCAGGTCCCCCAGAGTGTCCTCTGCCAAACCTTTCTCATCACTCTCCTGCGTTCTGTTCCCAGGTGGCCATCAAGTCCATCCGGAAGGACAAAATCAAAGATGAGCAAGATCTGATGCACATACGGAGGGAGATTGAGATCATGTCATCCCTCAACCATCCTCACATCATTGCCATCCGTGAAGGTATGGGGGGGCACCTGAAGCTGGAAGTTGGGGGTCTATGTGTATGCATGGATGTGTTCACATGCCTATGTACACGTGTCAGAAGAAACAACATAAAGAAGTAAAAATGATACAGGCCCTAGAGGTGGGCAAGAGCTGAATTTGAAACTCAGCTGTATGACTTTGCACAACTTACTGAATTTAGTTTTTGAGTTTCAGTTCCTCATTTATTAAGCGGGGTCATTCCATTTATATCACAGTGTGATTGCAAAGATCAAACTGTTCATGCCATTGAGTGCTCCGCTCATGGGAGGTACTCAAGGAATTGCAGGCTTTTTTGTTGTTATAATTCGGTTTTCCCTACTTGAACACTACCTTCCCAACCCAGTGAGCTCCTTAGCAATCTGAGGGAGGCTGAAACATACAAAGGCCTGCACCTGTCTTAGGTGCGTGGGTGCTATTCTTTGGGCATCCCAAGAGCCAGACCTCCTAGAGTCTGACCTGGGCTCTGAATCATTCTTGCCACAGGGCTGGCTTCTACCTCTCCTTGTCTCACTTGGCCTCCTCTTCTCTGACATCAGTGCTGACTTTGCCACCCCAGCTGCCCTCCTCCCCGTGACCCAGACGACAGAGTGAGCAAGAGAGGGTGACGAAGGAAAGATGGGGAGCCTTCTCCTACACACACCTGTCTGCATCGAGCCTTTACATAATATCAGTTAGACGAGAAGCAGTGGATAGCAACAGGAGGGAAGAAAGGGAACCTGTGGCTCTGTCTTTTGTCTGTATATTCCTGGTGGGGAAAAAAAATAGAGCAGTCTCTGCTCTTGGATCGTGTTCATAAAAAGATTAAGGGTAGAGCCACTGTGGCTTGAGCCTGTCCCATGAAGAGCCAGACAAGTGGCTGAGAAGGCTAATTGTATCTCTGTGTACTTCCCTCAGGGAAGAATGGGCAAATGACAAAGTTTGGTTAAGCCAGGCTGAGTGTGGTGAGAGAGAGAGAGAGAGAGTGTGTGTGTGTGTGTGTGTGTGTGTGTGTGTGTGTGTGAGTGTATTCTGCCTTACACCCATATCTCCAACTGGATCTGGGAACTGAGCGCTGAGGCTCATGATATGGCTTCTCTGTTACCTTCAGATTCAACAGACATAAGAACATATAGTTACTGTGTGTCTGGAGGGGCTCCCCCAAATTGATCCCCATCCTGCTACAGGCATCAAAAGATGTGAAGTAGGGGGTATGCCTCTGTCCTGGGAACTGACCTCTAACCTAGCTGTTCTCCAAAATGTGCCCTTGCTGGCTTTTGACTCCCAATTTGATGGCACAAAGTTTGCTTGCACCCTTGCAGAGATGGCAAGAGCCACAGGGGTGGAGTCGCAGCCAGGCATCCCCAGGAGACTGGGCCTCCATGGATAAGGGCCATTTACTCCTGTCACCCTGGAAAAAGTGACAGTCTCCTGGCCATGTATCCAATTGCCTGGAAGCTGGGACTCCTCTAGGGAGAAGCCTTTTCACTCCTTCTCAGAGCCTAGACAGCATTATCTCTGGGGCTGGCCAAGCAAGCCAAACTCATAGGACCCGTTTGACACAAAGATGCAATGTCATGGACATACATGTTCTAACATACACCAGGCAGAAGGGCCAGTTTGGTGAACCAGCCACTCCCTACCTTTCTAGGGGGCTGGAGCCAGGACAAGTCTTCAAGTGGCAAGAGGGCCCCTCCCACCCAGAGAGATGAGCCAGCTGGGATGGGCTGGCTGCCAGGAACCCAGCCACTCAATTAATTACCAAATGTGTATTGATTGCTTCTATGTACAAGGCCTTATGCATGAAGCCCTGGCCTGGATCCTTCGGATGAAAGTCAAAGATGGTGATGGATGTCTCAGCTCTCTGTTGTGCTTTATAGTTCATGATCCACTTTTTTTTTTTTTTTTTTTTGAGACGGAGTTTCACTCTTGTTACCCAGGCTGGAGTGCAATGGCACGATCTCGGCTCACCGCAACCTCTGCCTCCTGGGTTCAGGCAATTATCCTGCCTCAGCCTCCTGAGTAGCTGGGATTACAGGCACGCACCACCATGCCCAGCTAATTTTTTGTATTTTTAGTAGAGACGGGGTTTCACCATGTTGACCAGGATGGTCTTGATCTCTTGACCTTGTGATCCACCCGCCTCGGCCTCCCAAAGTGCTGGGATTACAGGCTTGAGCCACCGCGCCCGGCCCATGATCCACTTTAATACACTTTTGTTCCCTCTTCTGATCCTCAAGACAGGCATTATTATTGGCATTATTTTTCAAATGTATGCATGAGGGCACTTGAGTATAAATATGACCATAGGTGCCATTTATTGAGTGCTTGCTTATTCGTCAGACCTCCACCAGCTTGCTCAGCCAGCCCTGGCACTACTGCTAACTTTTTGTGTTTCTCACCCCAGCCCTGTGAGGTTGCCTTATTATCCTGCTTTTCAAATGAGGAAACTGAGGCACAGTGGTTTAATGACTTGTCCAAGATCACGCAGCAAACCTGCATTCTGACTCACGCATCTAGAAGAGATTTGCCCAAGGCCACAAGGTGAAAAAGTACCAGCTTCTTAAACCAAGGAGCTTTGCCTTTCATGAGAATGAATCACTTATGAGAATGAAAGACCAGGCTCCTTGGTTCAAGAAGCTGGTACTTTTTTTTTAAAAGAAGCTGGTACTTTTTTGGGGATTCTGAAAATTACCCTGCCCTTTCAGGAAGATGTCTAGTGAGGCAGGGTAATGTCTAAGGGCAGGGTAATTTTCAGAATCCCCAAAAGCCTGAACTTCCAAGGAGGCAGAGGGTGAGCCAGTGTCTTTGGCCTTAACTCATGGCTCCTGGAAGATGCTGAGAACTTCCAAGGCCCTTCTCCTGCCCTTATTTGCCACTGTATAGCCCCATTAGCAGATATCCCTAGAGGAGGAGGGTCCCGTCTGGTTTGGGGCCTGGGGTGGGGGAGGAGTGAGTCACCCCCCAGTGGAGAGCAGTGCACTCTGGGGGAACCTGACATTCCTTGCCTTGCTCTGCCCAGTGTTTGAGAACAGCAGCAAGATTGTGATCGTCATGGAGTATGCCAGCCGGGGTGACCTTTATGACTACATCAGCGAGCGGAAGCAGCTCAGTGAGCGTGAGGCCAGGCATTTCTTCCGGCAGGTCGTCTCCGCAGTGCACTATTGCCATCAGGTGAGCACCTACCTGCTCCAGCCATGTTCTCCGGGGGCGGGGGGGGGGGTCCCTGGGGCCCTGGGGCTGTTACAGATCAGAGAGTTTTCATGACCTGTCCAGGATCACACAGGGAGGCAGAAACAGAGGCAGAACTAGATTCTGGACTCTCAGGGAAATGTTGGCATCTCTGACTTTCAGTCCCTCGCCCTGGGATAGAAGGGCCTGTGATTTCTTGCAGCACACACCAAAAAAATGGGCATCCCCAGCCTACCTGTGCTCAGCCCCACTTGGCTCCCTTTGTGTTTACCTCAGTCTCCAGACTAGACTATTTATCACCTTCCCTTCCCCGGTGACCTTCCTCTGACTGCCCCATCCTGCTTTCAGAATGGAGTTGTCCACCGGGATCTCAAGCTGGAGAACATCCTCTTAGATGCCAATGGGAATATCAAGGTGAGTCCCACTTCTTACTTCTAGAAGCCTTCTGGCCCACCCCAGCTTTTCTGCACTGTCTCCAGCCAAGTAGCTCTAAGCTCTTGGTGGGTTCCTGAAGGAGCTGAGCCAGGCTGACCTTCATTCCTTCATTGGTACTGGTAGGGCCCTCAGCCATGGATATACATATTGGAATGGATATTCTAACACCTCATTGTGTGGATGGAGAGCTGTGGCCTCAGAGGAGGGGTGATTTGCACAAGATCACACGACTAGCTCGTGGCTGAGCCTGGGCTAGAACCAAGGTCTTCTGACTCTCAGATCAGTGGTCCTTTGAAGCCAGAAGGCTGACAGGAATCTAGGTCTAAGCTCAGGTTTGCTACAACCTTGGGACGGGCCTGGCCTGAGTTCTTCTCCCCGCCCATGTGTGTACACACTTGCATACACACACACATGCATGCTTTAATCTGCTACAATTAGCCCTTTGGAAACATCCCACAGATGGACTCCAGCTCCAGCTTCCTGCTTTCTGCAACTGCTAGATTTCCATGCTTAAGTTTTTTTGTTATGTGTGTTTTTTTTTTTTTTTGAGATCGAGTCTCTCTCTCTTATCAGACTGGCGTGCAGTGGCACGATCTCAGCTCACTGCAATCTCTGCCTCCGGGGTTCAAGTGATTCTCCTGCCTCAGCCTCCCAAGTAGCTGGGACTACAGGCGCGCGGCACCACGCCTGGCTAATTTTTGTATTTTTAGTAGAGATGGGGTTTCAGCATGTTGGCCAGGATGGTCTCAATCTCTTGACCTCTTGATCTCTTGATCCGCCCACCTCGGCCTCCCAAAGTGCTGGGATTACAGGCGTGAGCCACTGTGCCCAACTACTTAAGTGTTAAATTTAGGCATGGAGAAGCTCATGTTGATGGGATACACTGAGATGGGCATGGCCCAGGGAGACTGGCCCCTGCAGGCACCGGAAGGGTGACGCTACATTCTGATCCGTTTCAGAATCTTTCTGAAGCCAGGACATAGTCTCTTCCAGTGGCTCCTGACCTGTACCCTGAGGTGCCTGGTACTGAGTTCATTCCCTCTTACCAGCCAATTCCCGGAGCAGGTGGGGCTCTCTTTGATGCTGACCAGAAGGGAGGGAAGCCAGGGCCAGTAAACCCGCATAGTCAGGCACGAACATTGACAAGCATGAACTTTCTTGTCTGTACCAATCATGTGCCTCATTATGGACTTCAACTGGTAACTGCTTGATAAGAGGCCAATAAAACCATAAACAAAGGAGCCAGAGTTTAATAAACAGCCCTTCCCCGCCCTGAACACACATAACCCTCTGATAGGGTAAAGAGGTGAGGAGCACCAGGACACTGGCCTCAGCCTCTAACTGAGGATGGATGGGAAAGGGACTCTCCAGGGAACGAGATGACAGGGTTGGGTTCTCAAGCCCTCAGTATCGGATGGTTCAGTGAGTCCTGGGCTGTAACCACAGCCCTGACGCTTGTTCTGCCCTCATTATTGCTTCTCGGCTATATTGGACTGACCCCAGGTTTCTGCCACCAAGTTCTTGCCCAGGTGTGCACACAGGCATGATCCCTTTGCTAGGAAGGGCAGCTCAAGTCTCATGTGGTTCATTGGTTATAGGGCTTGCTTGTTCCTCAGGCCTGTGACATTACACGAGATGCTGGCTTTCCCCCTCCATCCGGTTGACCCTCCTTTCCATGGCTAAGCATCCTTAGAGCCTCATTGCAGGATCTCACCTAGGCTAGCAGCTGCAGGAGAGGCAGGGGCAAGGAGGTCAGCATGGGAGTGGAGAGTCTGTCTGGAAGGCAGATCTAATGAACAGGGACTCCAGGGAGGCATTTGAAACTCTTGGCTTCTAGAAGAAGGAGATGGAAGGCTTTCTGGAGGGGCATGGGCTTGCTGGGCCAAAAGGATGGGCATGGACAGGAGAGAGCATCTCTGCAGGTGAATGCCACATGAGAAAAGTGGTCTGGGGAGCAGTGAGGATCCTGGAGCCCCCACATACCTCTTCCTAGATGTTCCTCATTGGCACAGCTCCTCGGGATTTGTTCTTCCAGGGCCTGAGCTATGCTGACAGTGCTTAGTGTGGGGTAGAGGTCATGGGGACCCTTTCCTTCTTCTGAAGACCGGGTTTCCCCAGGATCTGGAGACGGGTGGGCCAAGAGCTACAGAAAAACCCAGGCCTTGGCATGACCTGTGCCCGTGTTTGACTCAATTCTGCAGATTGCTGACTTCGGCCTCTCCAACCTCTACCATCAAGGCAAGTTCCTGCAGACATTCTGTGGGAGCCCCCTCTATGCCTCGCCAGAGATTGTCAATGCGAAGCCCTACACAGGCCCAGAGGTAAGTGGCCACCCTCCCCTGCCAGCCTGCCCCAGGTGTTTACTATGACTTTAGACCCTGAGAGAACGATAGTTTTATACTTATTCACCTTTTCAGAGCACAAAACTCAAGCCTCCCAAAAACTAGTAACTTGCCAGGTGTCTAGCCAGGAGTGGCAAAACTAGAACTAGGCCGGGCGCAGTGGCTGACGATAATTCCAACACTTGGGGAGGCCGAGGTGGGTGAATCACTCGAGGTCAGGAGTCAAGACTAGCCTGGCCAACATGGCGAAATCCTGTCTCTACTAAAAAGAAAAAGTATAAAATTAACAGGGTGCTGTGGCACACACCTGTAATCCCAGTTACCTGGGAGGCAGAGGCAGGAGAATCATCTGAACCTGCGAGGCGGAGGTTGCAGTGAGCCGAGATCATGCCAGTGCACTCCAGCCTAGGCAACAGAGGAAGACTCCGTCTCAAAACAAAAACAAAAACAAAAAACCCACAAAAAAACCCCTAGAACTAGAACTTAGGTCTCCTGACTCCTAGGTCAGTTCTTTGTGTCCTTCACCTTCCTCATTCCTGTTACCTTTCCCAGCACCCAGTCCAGCTTCCCAAGAGTGATGTAGAGGTGGTGTCTGTCACAACCACCCCTTCCCCAGCACAGAAGAGATGACCTGGCTGTTGCTCTTGTGCTTGGCTGTCCCTCCCAGGGAAAGCAGTTGACAACATCTCAGCCCCCTTCTGCAGCATCCCGGTCTTGGCCCCTGGGTAGGAGAGGTGGGCCGTCTTCAGATGTGCTAGGCTCTGAGTTCTCCAGCATGTACCACTTTCTTGTCTGGTATGGGCATCCTTGCTGACCTCCTGCCTCTTTCTCAGGTGGACAGTTGGTCCCTGGGTGTTCTCCTCTACATCCTGGTGCATGGCACCATGCCCTTTGATGGGCATGACCATAAGACGCTGGTGAAACAGATCAGCGACGGGGCCTACCGGGAGCCACCTAAACCCTCTGGTGAGTGAGAGGTGTGGGCGTTCTCATCCAGGCCTGGGGTGTCCTTCACTCATTCCTAAGGCAGGAACTATACAGTAGCACTAAAGTCAGAAACGCCACAGTCCATCATGGCCCACGATAGGTTAGGGTATCCTCCACCGTGTGTCCAATGTTAAGACTTGTGAGGAAGGAGGAGATAGCTTTTTCTTCCCCAAAGGGGCATGCTTGATTATATTTGGGAAGTAGTTCCTAAGGCCTCACTTAGATCTTCTTTGGCAACAGTTTTCTCATTTCCTGTTGCTTTTGTTCTCATCTTCAGAAATATTTTTGTCCTTCACTGTGACATAGAAGGCAGGAAGAAGGGTGTGAGAGCCCCAGTTACCCTGAGCACAGTCTCTACCCTCAGAGGGTTGAATTTCAATGGAGAGAGAGAGGATAGACACCAACATACATACAAGGACTCATGAAGGGGTCACAGTCCTGCGGGGTCAGAGGACAGGCAGCTGGAGGAGTCAGTTCAGGAACTCTGGACTGGGGAGCTGTCCTGGGCCAAGGCATGTTTAGAGCCCTAGGTTGGAAGGGATGCATCTGACCCAAGAGTAAGCAGTGTCTTAGCTCAAAGGCGGATGAGCTGGTGACAGAGGACAGGGAGTGCCCATTCTGGGAGCTGCCAAACTGAAGCTCCTGCCTTTTGTCTTCCAGATGCCTGTGGCCTGATCCGGTGGCTATTGATGGTGAACCCCACCCGCCGGGCCACCTTGGAGGATGTGGCCAGTCACTGGTGGGTCAACTGGGGCTATGCCACCCGTGTGGGAGAGCAGGAGGCTCTGCATGAGGGTGGGCACTCTGGCAGCGATTCTGCCCGGGCCTCCATGACTGACTGGCTCCGGCGTTCCTCCCGCCCCCTCCTGGAGAATGGGGCCAAGGTGTGCAGCTTCTTCAAGCAGCATGCACCTGGTGGGGGGAGCACCACCCCTGGCCTGGAGCGCCAGCATTCACTCAAGAAGTCCCGCAAGGAGAATGACATGGCCCAGTCTCTCCATGGTGACCCAGCTGATGACACTGCCCCTCGCCCTGGCAAGAGCAACCTCAAGCTGCCAAAGGGCATTCTCAAGAAGAAGGCGTCAGCCTCTGCAGAGGGGGCACAGGAGGACCCTTCTGAGCTCAGCCCCATCCCTGCGAGCCCAGGGCAGGCTGCCCCCCTGCTCCCCAAGAAGGGCATCCTCAAGAAACCCCAGCAGCGAGAGTCTGGCTACTACTCCTCTCCCGAGCCCAGTGAGTCTGGGGAGCTCTTGGATGCAGGTGATGTGTTTGTGAGCGGGGATCCCCCGGAGCAAAAGCCCCCGCAAGCCTCAGGGCTGCTCCTACATCGCAAAGGCATCCTCAAACTCAATGGCAAGTTCTCCCGGGCAGCCTTGGAGCTCTCGGCCCCCACCACCTTCGGCTCCTTGGATGAACTCGCCTTGCCCCGCCCCCCGGCGCGGGCTAGCCGCCCCTCAGGGGCTGTGAGCGAAGACAGTATCCTGTCCTCTGAGTCCTTTGACCAGCTGGACTTGCCTGAACGGCTCCCAGAGCCCCCGCTGCGGGGCTGTGTGTCTGTGGACGACCTCATGGGGCTTGAGGAGCCCCCATCAGAGGGCCCTGTAAGCTACCTGAGGCGCTGGCGGCAGGATCCTTTGGGGGACAGCTGCTTTTCCCTGACAGACTGCCAGGAGGTGACAGCCACCTACCGACAGGCACTGGGAGTCTGCTCAAAGCTCACCTGAGGCGGGTAGGCATTGCCCCAGCCCAGGCAGGGTCTGAGATGCAGCCGGCTGCACCCCGACGGGAGATGCCTTCTCCCGCACCTCCCAGGACTTGCATCCCAGCTCAGAAGGCTGAGACTTTGCAGTGGAGCCCTGGGCAGGGCTGGATGTGGGAAGCAGGCAAGTGCATCCTTGATAAAGTGCATCAAGGATTCAGTGTCTGCAGCTCTGCTGAACTAAGAGGATAACAGAGAAAGAGAACGGAACGGGAAGGCCCACGTCAGAGTCCGGGTTGTCTGTTTCTTGTGCACATAGTCGGGCCGCAGAGACCTGGAGAACTACCAGCGCCCAGCTCCTGCATCCCATGAATACACTGTACATGTGGTGCCTTCTAAGGACAGCCTGTTCCTTACTCATTCTCTGCCAAAGTGGGGCCAGACCTCTTCACACACACATTCCTGTTCCCACCAAGCACCAGAACTGGACAGTGGCACCCGTAATGTGCCTGAGGCATCCTGGGAATGGTCTGGAGTAACCCTTCCTTATTTATCCTTGGAGTAAGAGAACACAACCTCTGTTTCTTCCGTGGTTCTCTTCCCCTTTCCATCCCCCAAACCTGCCCTGAGCCTCCTGGAGTTGCTGCTATGAATCTGAAAGACTTGAAAAGCCCCAGGCTGCTGTGTGGACTTCATCTCAAGGGGCCCAGCCTCCTCTGGACGCCTCCTTGGACCTCAGAAACTCAGAACTTCTGCCTCTAAGCTGCTCATAAAGTCCAGACTTACGGATGTGTTCTCTGGGCCCTCAGAACTCTAGAATGCCTGTATTTATTTTTATGTGCTCAACTCTGTGTTTTAGAAAAAGTGAATCTTGCTGTTTTCAATAATGTGAATGCTGTTCTGAGAAAATCCACTATGGCATCTAAGTTTTGTGCACAGAGAGATATTTTTACAACGATTTCCACCCCACCCCCGACATTCCCCCGTACCCCACTCCACACTGTGTTTCTCTACCTAATGGACCTCTGTGGCCAAAAAATACCATTCCATTAAAACCAGAAAGGTGACTGGAAACATGCCCTGCTGTTCTCTTTGGTGATGGAAGTGGGGAGGGATGGGGCCCGAGCAGGTTTTTGAGCCTTCTAATACTCATTCCCCTAGGCTGCCAGGGGTGGGAGATAAAAAAACTAAGGAATCAAAAACAATTGTGAGCCCAGTAGCTCCGGCCTGACCCTATTATGCACGCAGGTGGGAAAGCCCTGAGCCCAGGGTCCCAGTTGTTCTTCCTGCCTTTGGCACTAAAGTAGAAGTGATTTGGCAGATTATCCCCCCCCGCCCCCCCCCTTCCCTCCTTCTCCCCCCCCCCCCTGCTCCGGTCTGCTCGAGCCCTGTTGCTGCTGCCTAAAGACACCCCCACAGCCTTTATTCTCTCCCTCCTAAGAAATCCCCTTTAGCCCGGTGCTGGGCAGCTTCCCCCCCCCCCCTCACTGCCTGACTCCTAGAGAAAGCAAGAATGCCTGGAATGTCCACCCCCACCAGACGCCAGCCCCTCAGCCCCCTGCAGAGCATTCTCCACAAGCCTGCTCCATTGAGAAACTCCCAGGCTCCGAGGGCTGGGGATGAAAGGGAGGGTGAGGACAAAGTGCGGGCCAGCAGCCGGCTGACTCTGGCTTCGGGCTGGCTCCCTCCCCCACCCCGACCTGCCCTGGTATTCACAGGAGGCCTCCAAACATCCCCAGCTCTGACTCGGGCCTCACAGCACACCTGTCCTTCTGCCAGCTGTCAGTGCCTGCCCAGTGGAGCGTTGGACCTCCCCTCCCGCACCTGGAGAGCTGAGCTGGCAAAGTCACTGGAGTCTGCGAAGGAGATGAGGAGGACAAGGCGACTATGGGTCAGGACGGGGAGAGCAAACAAGACAAGGCTTAGGCGACACTGGAGTACTTAGGTCTTGAGTCTCTGAGGCCCTACTCAGTGCTGGAACTCAGGGCTAGACTCTGGGTAAACATGGGAAAAATCCAGGGGGTGGATTTATCTCCAGAAGCTTAGAGTTCAGCTGTGGGGTTCTCAGACCTCGTTTATTCATTCCTCTCATGAATCAACCCCTTTTGTGTGCTAAACTCTGTAGAAGACAGAGGTAATTGCTGTATCCCTGGTACAAAAAAAAAAAAAAAAAAAAAAAAAAAGATCTTAGCCTCAAGGAGGTTAGAGACTGGGGGTGGGTAAGGTAGCATGCATAAGTTAAATTCAGTGAGAAGTTATTTTTGGTTCAGATCATGTTGAAAGGGAGTTTGGATGAATTACATCTTCGGAGATGATAATAGGGACTACCGTTCACTACGTGCTTATGGGTGTCAAGCCCTTTAGGTGTGTTACCTCATGTAATGCTCACGATAGCCTTGTAGGTTCAGTACTATTTTTATTCTCATTTTATAAAAGAAATTTTATAAAATAAAATTCTCATTTTAAGTAGGCCAGGCACAGTGGCTCACACCTGTAATCCCAGCACTTTGGGAGGCCGAGGTGGAAGCATCACTTGTCAGGAGCTCGAGACCAGCCTGGTCAACATGGTGAAACGCCATCTCTACTAAAAATACAAAAAATTACCTGGCGTGGTGGCTCACACCTCTAGTCCCAGCTACTCGGGAGGCTGGGATAGGAAAATCAGCCTGGGAAGCAGAGGTTGCAGCAAGCCGAGATCATGGTACTGCACTCCAGCCTGGGTGACAGAGCCAGACTCAGCCTCAAAAATAAAAGGAAGAGAGTGGGTGGGAGAAGCTGAAGCTTGAGGGACAGGACTGGAATGGGAGGGGAGGGAGGAGGGAAGGACACCCGTACCTAAGGGAACCGCAGGGTGTGAAATGGGGATGGAGGGAGAGGACACAGCCCTTTCCATCAGTGCTATCTCAGCAGGAGCTGAGGGAGATGGAGTTTCAGGAAAGGAGAGAGAACACACACAAAGGCGTTTGGTCCTAACTCTGTGTCCTCCTGCATCTGCTTACGTGACTCTTGTAGGCCAGGTGGAGGGAAGGGTGAGCAGGGTGAGGGGGTGGATGTGGGGGAAGCTTTCTGGGGAAAGAAAATCTGAGCTGGAAGAGAATATTTTCTTGGCTCCAAAGAGACCTGGATGAGGGGCTGTGGATCCCGCACAGCTCTTCCCTCACCTGCCTGGATGGTTCATACCAAAAACATTCCAGAAAACAGGCTCACAGCGATGACGCGGACCCCCAGGGGAGAAGGCTGGAGCTGCAGGAATATTTAGTGCCACATCAGTGCTTCCGGAATGTGAAGAACCCAGACGATGACGAGGGTTGGGGGAGGTGGGGAAGCAGCTTTGAGAGACAGGAAAGGGCCATCTGCAGCCAGAGCCACAGAAGCCTGGTCAGAGTCCTCTCCCCGTCCTCAGCCCTTTCCAGGGCAAGTCCTGGCAGTCATGTGTGTGGAGGGAGGGAAACTCCAGAGGCATGTTAATCCCCGCAGGGATGACAGCTTCAGCTCTCCTCTGCCCCATCCCACCAGCTGCCTTGGGCCCTCCTTGGGCAGATAAAGTGAGAGGGGAGACAGCGCTCCAGATCACAGTTGGGAAGCCCCTGCAGAGCACAGTGCCCACGCTCCAGTAGAGCTTCTAGAGGCAGACTTCAGCCCTTCGAGCCAGAATCTGAAGAGTGACTAATAGACCACACATGTCTCGAGGACAAGGATAGACCCAGGACAAAGGAAGAGTCCTGGGTCTTAGCTGAAGAGTCTGGGCACTTTTAAAGCAGGGGAAGGGGAGTGGGTGGGAATCACATAATAAATGACAGGGTTGATCTTCTGGAAAAGAGATTAGATGTACAGGCCATGGCTCAGAGAGCAGGACCAGGACCAATGAGTGGGGGCTACTGAGACACTAGATTCAGCTCGATAAGGCGACCACCTACATATATGTTCATTCAGGCCAGGTGCAGTGGCTCATGCCTGTAATTCCAGCACTTTGAGAGACTGAGGCGGGCAGATCATTTGAGGTCAGGAGTTCGAGACCAGCCTGACCAACATGATGAAACCCCGTCTCTACTAAAATTACAAAAATTAGCTGGGCGTGGTAGTGGCGCGTGCCTGTAATCCCAGCTATTCAGGAGGCTGAGGCAAGAGAATCGCTTGAACCCGGGACGTGGAGATTGCAGTGAGCTGAGATTGCACCATTGCACTCCAGCCTGGGCAACAGAGCAAGACCTTGTCTCAAAAAAATATATATATGATGTTCATTCGGCTATTCAGTCATTTATTCAGTATTTACTGAGTTGCGAGAGTGTATGCTATTCCAGGCCCTGGAGATACATCTGTGAACAAAACTGAGATTTTTGTCTTATGGGGCGTCCATTCTAGTGCAGAAAGACAGACAAGTATAGTAAATAAGTAAATAATATAGTATGTTAAAAGGCCACTGCCAGGCACAATGGCTCAAGCCTGTAGTCCAGCACTCTGAGAGGTCAAGGCAGGTCACTGGAGTCCAGGAGTTCCAGACCAACCTAGGCAACACGGCGAAACCCCGTCTCTACAAAAAAATGCAAAAGTTAGCCGGGTGTGGTGGTTCACATCTGTAGTCTCAGCTACTCAGGAGGCTGAGATGGGAGGATTGCTTAAACCTGGGAGGTCACGGCTACAGTAAGCCAAGATTGCACCACCGCACTCCAGCCTGGGCAACAGAGCGAGAACCTACCTCAAAAAAAAAAAAAAAAAAAAAAAAAAAAAAAAGAAAAGGAAAGACAGAGAAAGAAAGAAGAAGGAAAAATTAGTCAGAAAACAGGCTCACAGCGATGATGCTGTAGTCCCAGCTACTTGGGAGGCTGAAGTGGGAGGATTGCTTGAACCCAGGAGGCGGAGGTTGCAGTGAGCCGAGATAGTGCCACTGTACTCCAGCCTGAGCGATAAAGTGAGACTCCATGTCAAATAAATAAATAGTCACAATAAGAATTAGTAAAATACTAATAATTAGGATGGGGTACGGGATGGAGAGGAGACAGGGAATTAACTTTTAAATAAGGGTGGCTTTGGAGAGCCCCTCCCTCTGTCTCTGCACAGGGGAGCTCCTGTCTTCTGCCTTCTCCCATCTTTCTTGCCTACTAAGCTCTTTACTCCTTAAAACCAAAAAAAGGAAAAAAAAAATGGTGATCAGAGAACGCCTCCCTGAGAAGGTGGCATTTGAACAAAGAGCCGGCAGCAGGGGTTGGGGTGGCACTAGCTAAGTGGCTACCTGGGGAACAGCGTTCAGGGTGGAGGGAACAACCAATGCAAAGATCTTAAGGCAGGAGCAGGTTGGGCAAGTTCTAGAGCAGCCATTGAGTCTGGAGCAGGTGAATGGGAGAGCAGCAGAAGGCGAGTCGGGAGCGGTAACAAGGGTGGGGAAAGTAGGTTGATTACACGGGGCCTTGAGAACCATTATGTGGGCCGTGCCTTTTATTCAGAATGAAATTGGGAGCCACCAACAAGTTCTGAGCAAAGAAATGACATGAGATAACTTAGAATTTTTTAAAAAATTCCCCTGCTTGTTGAGGCTAGCCGTGGGAGGGTCAACGTTGTCCAATTCTGGAAGGAGGTGAGGGGGCTCGGACTGGAGTCAGCAGTAAAGAAAAGACAAGTTGTCAGATTTCTGACATATTCTGAAGACAGAGCCCACAGCCTTTCCTGATAGATTCAATGTAGGGTATGGAAGAAAGAGGAAAACCAAGAATAATTTCATGGTCTTTGACCTGAGAAACTTGAAGGGTGGCATGTGCATTAGCAGGGTAGGGGAAGGCTTGCAGATGGAAGAGGTGTTGGGTGAAGTCAGAGGCACTTAGACCTCCAGGCAAAGATAAGTGGTATGAGGAGCCTGGAGTTTGAGAGATTTGGGTTGGAGATAGAGATGTGGGGTTGTTGCTAGGAGGAATTTCTGCTTCAGGTGGAAAATCTGGACAGATGATATCTGAAGAAGTCCCTTCCAGCTGTAAGGATTCTAGGATTGTATTGAATAGGAAAGCAGTTCTTTCCAAAGCTTGTCTGATATGCTTATGTGGGGAGGTGGGCAGTGCTGACATGAGGAGGCATATTTCGC